TGGTTGAATTGAGTAGGGCGATAAAACGCGTAGATTTTTAATGAGGTGGCCGACTCGGTGGGGAAATACGTTAGTTAGTTACCTAGTGATGTACTTAGTAATTGTACTTATTAATTGTGAGGTGGCAGTTGAGGTATCGGCGATGAGACGATGAGCTGGATATGATCCTAGCTCTTGACGGTTCTTCTGACTTGTTCTATTTGATCATGATGGTTACTATCAACAAACCATACAATCTAATCATGAGGCGTCATATTAAGATCGATGATCTTTGGTAGTTCGATACTTCATGTAGCAGTTGACCCACTCTTGGATCCACTTGGTTCTAACGGTGTGGTTAGGGTTACAGTTACACTGTGCTACTTATGAGACGATTATTGTAGTTACGATCCACTATTTAGTATTGAAGGTCTATATAGTTCTACTCACGTTGAAATCAAGGTCAAGGAGACCAGGCCACTACTAATTGTTATGTAGAAACATCATAGATACTTCTAGACTGTGCATGAATTCTGTATACATAAATTCATCCCCGAATTTCATCTTCAGCTTCACTAATCCGAATTACTCATAAATATTGAACCCTCCATAACATGTCTATCAATTACTAGTTCCACAAATCGTATCCATCCACCGAGAGATGATGTATAGTTCTGTACACCGAAAAGTAGTAAAAGTATTAACCGAAAAGAGACACCGTCTTCTTCTTTTTCTTCGGCCCTTGGCTCTGGCTTGATTCCCCTGTCTCCGTCCCCTCGGGGCTCCCGCCATGGTCGTCGGTCGAGCTGACCACCGACGGTGACGACCAGGGCGATTTAGTGCGCACTCGTCCCGGAGTCATTAAGATCCCGTTCGGGGACAGTACCGGCGCCGCGGTGGTCCTGCGCCGCTGGGGAGTCAAGAGATCTGGTCCGGAGGAGCTTTCGTTGCCCAGATCAAGAATGACTGGAGCAGGCCGCTTCCGCTTCAACGGCGATTTGCGAGCCTCCGGAGTTTGGGGCTTGCTGCCGTCATCTTCGCCGTCGTCATCAGGGATAGACAGTTTGTGACGATCAAAAAAGCCGGACGAGGTCTTGAAAAATGCCAGGTGCGCCGACGCAGGGTCTTCGTCTTCGGGCATGGGAATGAAATGCTCGTTTTGGATAATGCTGCTCATGATGTTATCGTCAAGTAGGTCGCGCTCGGCGTGCTGGATCTCAGTATCCGACATGGCTTTTCGTCGCTGTATGATCTTGTCCTCTAGGGTGTCTTTGAGTACGAGGGTCTCGACGAATACCGGGCGCGTTTGTCCGATACGGTGGGCCCGCTTGATGGCTTGACTTTCCACGTTGGGCTGCCAGATGGGGTTGATGATGAACACGCGCGAGGCACTGGCAATGTGCAGCCCGTGAGAGGCCTGGCCCAGATCCATCAAAAGGACTCGGATGTCTTCAGTCCCTTCGAACATGGCAAGGTATTCGGCCCGCTGAGCGGGTTTCAGCGTGCTAGCGTAAATACGGAACTCCACCCCGAGGAGCTCGAGTCCTTCGGCGATCCAGAATGCCGAGTTATTGTTGTCATAGAAAATAATGATCTTCTCTTCCTTGTGGAGATGAAGGACCTGTTCAAGAAGGTACGTCAGTTTGGCCGACGCAGTTGCGACGAGCTTGGTCTTCGTGAGCGGAGATTCCATCGGTAGGGTCTTGGAGAGTCCTTTGGAGAAACACTTTTTGGGCAACCGCGTGGTGATGGGCTTATCTGGGATAGTCTTATGGGTACTAGATGAGCCCAGGCTCTGTTGCTTTCGCTTTTGGAGCTGATGACGAATTTTGATCCCGGCGCCAGCAAGGCCCTCGGCGGGGTCGAGCGAGTTCAAATTTGCCGTAATAAATCTCTGGGCGTGGTGAGCCTGAGTGATGCCAATGAGTAGCGGCTCCAGTTGTGATCCAGATTCGTTTAGCGCCCACATGTTCCGAGCGTGGGAAGGGAAGTCCTGGATAAAAACTCCTAGCTCATGGAATTCTTTGAACCAGTTCCAACTCTCGCAGGAAAGTGCTTTCTGAGCAATGCGAACCCCCTCGGTCAGTAAAGCTAGGTCGTCCTCCGTCATCTGCGCCCGGTTTTTGTCCATGTACTTCTGGGCGTTGTTAATAGTCCCGGGGAGATCTCCATCGGACCCTGCCCACCAGAAGCCCGCCTGTCGAAGGTTGCCGATCAGCGTGGTCAAATGCTTTCGGTTCCGGGGATGAAACATGTAGTCCTGGTCCGTGCGCTCTGAAGTGATTGCATTGACCGCCAGGATGAAGATGAACAGGTTCAGGTTTAGCTTGTCGTAGAAGGTTGGTTCGAGGTGTACAACCTTGTTGTGCAACCGCGGCAAAGTGATTTGGGCATGGATATTTTCCATCCGATGCCGTACGACCAGCCCCTGCAGGGTGGCACGGAGCGAGGGTGCCTTCCGACGTCTCCCATCATCGCCAACAGGCTTGATGTATTTGGTCCAGTTAGCCGGGTCGTTGGCACGGGAATTCGACCACGGTTTGACATCAAGAAACTGCGTGACAATGAGTTTGAGCTTGCCAAGGTCTTTGAGCTCATTGTCGGCGAGGTTTCCCGTTCTCCTCCTCTCGTGAAGCACAGCCGCGGTGACCTCGGTTAAATCTGTGTCACTGGAGTTCGTTTCCTGCGAAGCCAGGCTAACCTCTACCCCATACAATCCGCTGGACGGTGTTCCCGACACAATCCACCGGCGCTCAACATGAAGTTTATCGATCATATGCACCATATTGGTGCGGTGTCCGTGGCCAGCCACGTTGTGACCTTCGTCGACAATGATCCGAAGCCAGTGGACTTGGGTCAGAGGAGACTCCGCGAGGTTTCCTGATTGACGTCTGACGTGCAACGCGTCGCCCGCTTCTCTTTCAAAGCGAATTCGCGAGAACAAGATTATGTCGTGCTGCAGGATAACTTCAGGGGAGGGGGTTGCATCGGAGCTGTCGCGCAAAACGCACACCTTAAGCCCTTCGGTGTGACGTTGAATCTCATGCAACCAATGATTCACCAGGTTGGGGGGTACAATGATCAAGGTTGCCGAGCATAAGCGGAGGCGTAAAGAGGGTGGTCTGGGATAGGGGACTCCATTTCTGCTGTTGTGCCTTGCTGGTGGTGGTGGGATGGTGTATTCGCCGCAGTTTTCTTCGCATGCTTGGACGCATCTAGTGTAAAAAGAACCCGATTGTTCCAACGATGTGAAGTGACTTTTCCACGGCAGCGAGAATCGACCTGCCGCCGCAGCTGCCATTTGAACCAGACTTGCTGTTTTCTCACGGACGGGGTTCGTCGTCTCCTGATACTCCAAGGGGATGTGAGGGAAATGTCCACGAGTCGCCAGGATAACAGCCAAACAAATCAGAGTCTTTCCGCAGCCCATGGTCTCCGCAAGAATGCCTGGTGGGAGGAAACAAAGTCAGAAGTTGGCCAAAGAGACAATCAGCAGATACTAGATTATCATACCTCCACAAGCCTCTGAGTACATCCTTTTCTCGTGAACAATAGTCCCTTCCTCCTTGTCGTAATAGTACTCGCGTCTTGTTGGCGTGGTGCACCTCTGCAGTCGTGGATCTAACATCTGTGCCGGTTGCGCCTCTCGCTGAACCATCGTAGCAGCTGAACGGCGCTGGTATGGATACAATGGCGTTTTGAGACCCATCACAGCGGGGGTGGCTTGTGATGTCACTTCTTTGCAATGACTATGGCCAGGAGTAGTAGCAGATAGTAGGGCCTGCATGGCGCCCTTTGCGTACGGGTCTTTCATCGTCTCGACTTGAGGCTCCGGGTTCTTGAGGGTGTTGAAGATATACCACAATGACTCATCTTGCGAGTTGTCGTTGACACTCTGGTTCGGATTCCAATCCGCAGGGAGGTACCCTGACCATGCGCGAGACGACTTGTCGATCCGGGACATGACAGCCTTGAGCGCACGCCTTAAATGTGTGCTTGAACGTGGAATCTCCCCACGACCTCGGTCATCGGGTAGAATGTATACACGAACAAAGCTCCAGTCGGGATATCTGTGGTATGCAAAGATGCTGGTCCAGATCCATTGATGCTCTTCTAGGGCAGCAACGTCGGCCTCAGGGTAGTCGTCAGCCGAGTCCTCTGTCGCCGAGGTCGCGGTGTCTGGGCTGTTGCGCTTTCTCAGAACGCCCACTGGGATATATGCCTCCCGATCATATATCAAAGGTTGCGGGAATATTAGTTGTTGGACGTTCAGAACCGGAGACCTCAACGTCGGAAGCCCTGACACCGAAGTCGCGGGAGTAGAGATGGTAGAGATGGAAGATACCGAGTCTGTTGAAGACTCCTGGGCGGAAGGAGACCGATATCTAGAAGACATGATGTCGAAAGTACTACTTCTGCACAACTTAATTGAAACAGAGTGCCTCGGAGATAGATTGAAACAAGAAACTCCAGAAAAGCAAACGTCTTTTGGCAGGCTGGGAAAAGCGCAAAAGGGAGCGGAATCCTGTCCGAGGACGGAAGCGGCACTTGACGGTTAGGCAGAACAGCAAAAGTTATACTCAACAGAAGGACAAACGGGATGAATTGGAAGCGATCATCATGCTGGATCCATGTTACACTGCTGCGGCGTCTCCCCAGGGCACTGCTTCACCCCCTCAGTGTGGTCGCATTCGTGGAGAGAAGAGAAAGAAGAGAAGAGCAGAAGAGCCGGGGAGCCTCGATAGCCCTCCGGTGTTAGGTAAGCCGCGATAAGAGTCAGCCCGGTTCCAATCAAAAGCGGGCCATTGGCTGGGGAACCTGACCGCCTTCGCCTGGCCCTTTTGGGAAGTATCCGTGTCCGAACGCAACCAGCCTCCTTGCAGTGAGTGAATGAATACGGTGTATGAAGTAGAAGGCAGGTCCTCCATTCTAATAGATAATATGTGGTTGATCGCCAATATTTCATATTGAACCACGAGCAAGTCTCGTTATTACAAAGGTCCTAAACAGCCAAAACAGGAATCCACAACTCCAAGACACAATAAATATATGTATGCCATGTACTGATCCTGTGCATAGTCACTTCACAATGTCGACAGTATCGAAATAAAAGTAGCATCCGGTTGAAATCAAAGCTATGTGAGTAATCTGTAATTCAAAAAGCCAATCCCACAAATAGCCAGCCTTACTGCAAATGCTAACCAACCACGAGAACACAAACAGCCGACCATAGAAAAGAGAAACACCCGAAAAGAGAATAAAGGAGGAAAAAATGAAAAAAGAGGTAGGAAAAAAAGACGAAGAAAAAAAAGAAGAAGAAGAGAAAGAAAGAGACCACCCCAAGAAGTTCCACAAGAAATGCATACCAAAAATCATTGAGTGAGATAATCTTCAATTTCAAATCCCACGCGCTTCAAAGATTTTTCCTCGAGTTCTTTCGGAGAGCCCGCGCCCCTTCGCACAACAACTGTTCGCGCATCTTGTAGGCGTACCTCGACCGGGTTCCCTGCAAAGCGCTCCATCTCGTCTTTCTCGCATTCCCGGATGTAGACAGTGATGTCGGGTCCGACGCAGGCGCGCCAGAGAGATGCCATCCACTGCCAGTGGTCCAGTGGCGCATAGGAGTCATTGATAGGCACTGAACAGGCGAACGAATCTGCCGTGGTAAGCTGATATCGAGGAACAATTGCTACCGGGACCGAATAAGACGCCGTCCCCGTCGATGAAGAAACGGACACCGATCCGCTCTCGCTGGGTGGGGCTGGCGAGCTGATTTGCATGTCAGCTGTCTTGGGAATAATGCCCTTGGGTGACACTCCGGAGTGACTCTCGCCATCTTCCGCCTGTTTGGCTTCTGGGGACTCGGATGAAGATTTGATAAAGCTGACGATCTCGTCGGAGATACGGTGCCACACAGAGATGGTGTTCAGATAATCGACCGTGGCGTCTCCCATCTGCCCAGACTCGGAGCAACTCTCCCTCTGCCGGATTTCGGGACCTCCGAAGATCCGTGTGTGGTACTTGCCCTCCTTCTGCAGCACATGATTGAGATAGTCGACCATGGCCCTGACCGCAGCGGGATCCTGTCCATCCACGGCGATAACGGGCCCTCGCCGTTGCAAGGCACCATCGCGTAATGAAGGCACCAGGGGAGGCGAGATCTTGGCGAGGACTTTAATCTTGTTCAGAAAAGGAATGGTCATCACCGTGGCCTCCAAACTGGCAGAGTTCTCCTGGGGAAAGGGGGCCATTGGCGCCACACCCCCGGTCGGTGGTCCATTTGTTTGCAACGGCGGAAGCTTCAGACTGGGGTCCGGCGCAGGATACTCTTTCGCTTGTCTGTACGGCCGGGGTGGCTGGAGCATCTGAAAACCCCGGGGAGTTGACGGATCCGGGCGAGGCGTATACGGCGACAACGGATATGAAGTTTCTGAAGGACTCTTTTCACGGTGAAGGTTGGGCTTGAACATCCCTTGGGGATTGAAACGACGACGCTTCGAATCTGGAGACCGACCCCCATTCTCTTCCCAATGACGCTGACGAGGTGGAAGCTGACCCAGGCCGCTAGTCCCTATCTTGATAGGGTTTGGCGCACGATCGGGGTCTTTTGTCCGACACTGGTAGCTTCGAATGGTGATTGAATCCGGTTGCGATGTGGGCCTGTTCCCATTCGAGGCTCCATTGGGGGTGAACGGCGTCTCCGGGGTCACTGGTGGATTCATAACTCGGCCACCGCAACGATTGCAGACCGTAGAGCCGGGAGGGTTATGACTGATGCCGGAGCTCGCATTCCGGATATTGCCGTCCCGACCATAGCGACGTGGTTGATATCGGTACTCGGGGTACTGTTGTTGATGACGAGCTTTCTCCTCCTGCCATGCGGATTAGTATGACCGAATCAAAAGAGCGCTCAATCCTCTTACCTCCGCCAGAGCCTTCCATTCATCTTTCGTTTCCTGGGGAAGCTTTCGCCACTGCTCCCCAATGATCTTGGATATATCGGGATTCGCAAGACCGGGGTTCTGTGCCACCACCGCTGCTTGATAGTGCTGGCGGTACAAGATAAAAGCTGAAAGGAAGAATTAGCTTTATGCTGCGAACACATGCACAAGAAGCTCATAAGACATCATTCGACGGCAAGAAGCTTATCAAGCTTACCATTGCGAGGCCTGGGGATCTTGGGATCTGGCTGGCAGAGACAGAATTGCGTGACAGGCTCCCGGGACGTGGTGGATTTCCCGGGGCTGGATGAAGAAGAGCGCTCCGATGTTGAAGTGCGTTCACGAAAGGGGATGGATTTGGGCTTTGGAGGCTCGAGAGGTGCACTGGAGGCGATCTTATTCAGGGCGATTTTGGCCCGGTTGATGGAGGAGAGGTGAACCTGCGGTAGCCCATCGGTAGGGTAGCGACAGGAAGCCCCGACAGGTATGCTCTCGACGCGATGATCCATCATAGATACTTGAGAGGTCTCGTCGTTCATGATCTTGTGCTCGAGAAGGTTACTGGTTGGTCTGGAAAGAGTGGCCTGTGGAGTTTCATAATGCAAAGCAGCTGGCTTGGGGAGAACTCGATCGTAAGACATTTAAGAATGGAAGAAAGAACCAGACCCCTCTTCTGTTGGCAAATGTATCGTATTGACGGGGTGAAAGAAGGGGGTCACCAGATGAAAGCGGCTGATTATAGAAGTCGACCAGGACAAGGGAGAATAATGGAAAAAAAATATTAGGAGCGAAGCGAAAGAAAGAAACAAGATATAAAGTTATAGAGAGCGAATCCTGGTGCAAGAACCAAGCCCTTTTTTCTTTTCTTTGCTCCAGAGAATATCAGGTTAGGCTTCTTTTTTCTCTGTTCTTTTTCTTTTTTTCTGTCTTTCAGTAATAATATATTTTTCTCTGTTTTTGATTTTCTTTTTTCTAAATTAAATTTTAATATGGCTTGTTATTATTATCTTTTTCTTCTTTGACAATGTTTCTATTCAGACCGAACCAACCAGGTGGGAGGGACTAAGATGATAAAGCCAGGATTTGGCTTTTTCAAGTGCTTTGTTACAAATTTATGTTTGGTGTCATTTTCTTGACCATGCCAGGCCTTACTCTTGCTCGCCCCCCCTCCCCTCCTCCTGAACCAGCCTAATGAACCGGGTTTTCTTTGTCTGGATACTACTACCAACACAACTGACCACATCCCCCTCGGAACCCTTTCCTTTAGCGCCCCCCACCACCTTTTTCTCCCAATCGTGACACGCAGTTGGACGCCTGGCCGCAGAGTCAAGAGAAAAAAATTTCGGTTTCCAGGATCATTGAATGCTGGATCTGGAACAATGGAACATCACCTGGAACCAATACGGCGGAGAATAGGGACTAAGGACTAAGGAGGGACCGGGAGGTAGCAATTTCACCTAGATCCCGATGACTGGGGAACTATTGGAACAGTCTCCGAGAGCGGGTGCATGCAAGACAGCCAAATGGAAGAGATGAACCAAAGGTACCGCAGCTGGGGGCAGGTACAAGTGCAATGGCGTAATGACACATACAACCTTAGGTACCTAGGAACCTTCCCGGGGACCAGGCAGGGGAAAGGGGGGTTAAGGACGAGAGAGAGAGAGAGAGAGAGGGAAAAAAGAGAGAGAAAAAAAAAAAAAAAAAGACCGAATGGTATGCCGACTCCGACTAGCGAGTGGCACCAGCGCAGTTCAGTTGGCTGGCAACCGGTGAAAGGTGAAGTCAGCCACAATTGGATCAGTCCAGAGCAAACGATCCATCGATTCCCCCTCTTTCAACCTCATGCCCACGAAACGGGATAGCGTTGAATTTTCCCTGTCCAAGAAGGGGGGAGGGGGGGAAAGAGAACAGGGAAGGGCCAGGAAGAAAGAAGGTAAGGTATTGTTTCGATGTTTGGGTTTTAGCCTTTCCTTTGTCTGCCCCGGCGCCCGCATGCGGTGTGCTGCAGGGGTCCCGGGCCAATCAGGAAACCCACCGACCATCACCCCCCGATGATTGTCGCCCCGCTCCGGCCAGCGACACTTGCCTGTTTGGGTCAGGTGAGCTTCGACCCGAAAGCTCCCTGGTTGGTTGAGGAAAGTACGATTATTTCTTTTATTCTTTCAAAGCAGGGACTTGGCCTAGGAGGTACCGGTGACCTCGTTCCTACGCCATCCATCCCATATTCATCCTAGCAATTAATCGAAACAAAGAAGACTACCGAGAAATTTGAAATCCAAGAATCCACTCCCCGAAATTAACTACCAGGGCACAAATAATAATAACACCAGTAACTTAATCAATAAAAAATAATTCTCATCGTCAAATTAAATGAATCCAGCTAAATTTGAATCAAATCCAAACGAGCATACTCCGGACACGCCTAGTTACAGACGGAGTAGTCCGTAGGGCAGGCTGGGAACTGTGCCGCAATTCCCTCGGTCCTCCCTCACAAAGAAAAAGAACTTTTTCCTTTCTTCTTCATTCTTCCTCCTTCCCTTTCCAAAATGGGTAGACCTTCCAAATCGGAACCAGAGGGCGAGTCAAGAAAACTGGGCAAGAAATGACATAAAATAAAATTCAATAGAATAAGATAAAAAAAGAGGACCCTTTGACAGTGACACGTTGATGTTGCAGCCCCTGTCATCTTGGGTCGATCCCTTTTCGGCGATCGCATTCCGATCCGCTCCACAGTCACGTTGCAATCGACGCGGGTGCAGATGTCACTTTTCTCTTCCTCTTCAACCTTCAGACTTCAGACCCTTGGGACCAAAATGAGACATACCACCTTAACAATTTCCTCGACCAGAAACCTTTGCCTTTCGGATTTGATGTCTTGCTCCTCTGATGGGGAGATTAATGCTATTGGTATGCAAATGGGTGCTTTGTCTTTGATGATCCTTCATTAAATTCGGAAGGCTACTTTGTCTCGCGAAGCCAAAAATGACACAACGCCCTCCAAGTCCCAGATTGGCTTCCCAAAAGCCAAGTCTTAGACACCTTCGGTCTTGATCGGCTGTACAAAGAAGGACTGCCTTGCGGGCTCACCAGTCATGGACTGCGCGTGTTCCTGGTTCGTCCGCTCGCTCATGCCCTGTCTCTCTCACACACACCTCCGCGCGTTTGATCGGTCAGGAATCCGGGAACCAGCCGTTGTCCTAATCTAGTTTTTTGTATGTACAATAACGCGCACGCCGTGATCGGACGGCAACATTTACATCTTGAATCGGAAACCTCCCATCCTTTGTGGGTGCAGAACAGCTGTGACGCTTTTGCTCATTATTTCTGACGAGGTTTTCAGACCCCCTTTACTTGATCCACATCTTCTCAATTCCTTGGTACACTTCTGTGCCCATGAGTCGGTGGGCCGATGGGCCCAGATGCATATCGTTCCTGAAGAAATCCGCATTAGTCTAGATCGAGTCAACGGGTGAGCCTTGTTCTTACCAGAAGAGATAGGTCTCCGGGTTGTCACATCGCTTGACCTCTGATGTCATCGCTGCCTGCGTGACGCAGGAGTCGTCGACGTTTTCCCATCCGGGGTCAACGTTCTTGCCCAGTCCATTGGGCTCCTCAATGCCGGCGTCATAAAGCTGCCGATCCCGGATCAAATCCACCAAGAAGGCATTGGTGTCGAAGAGGTAGATCAGGCCGTGGTCCCATTTTTCGGCCGATTCCCGGAGCTTTTGGTTCCAGTAATCGGTGACCAACACGGTATCCTTGTGGCGAGTGACACGCTGCTCCGCTGCATCCTTGAATGCGGGAAGGAAGGTCACATCCGGCGCCAGCGTCAGAATGACCTTCAGATCGTCCGTGCCCAAGGCCCGAGACAACGAGTCCAGCTGGTCCATAATCGTCTCCACGCAGTGATCGACCGATTTGAAGGCAATGTCGTGGTCCTTCCCGATCATGTTCCAGATATCCCACACGCCGAAGGAAACGGTCACTATGGTATGATTCATGCGGCTGCTGATTGCGTCTTCGTCGCCGGCCAATTCCTCCAATACCTGGGACTCCGCAGCCGTCCATCGGTTCACCTGCGTTTTGAAATCCGCCACCGGCGACTTGGACAAACTGAGCAAGATGCCTGATAGCTCGGCGTTGTCTACGACCGAGCCAATCTGAGTGCCGCGGAGCGACTGGGCTGTCTTTGCCAGATTCTCATGGTGACACGAAAACTAAAAAATTGGGTATTAGCGCATGCCATAAACTTGGTTTTTGTGTTTGACTTTGGGTCGTTTTTGTCTCTCTTTTCTGGTCTCTCTCTCCCTCCCTCTGTCCGGCCGCGGCGGGGTTCCATACCATCGAGCAAAGCCATACCGTCCACACGGACCCTTGGTCGTCGACGCCTCCATTTCCATCATCACTCCACGAATCGCCAAATACCACCAATCTCCGGTCGAACGTCTTCACGGTGCGGAAGCCATATTCAGCGTCGGTCGAGATCGCTCGGCGGTAGTAATGTTGCGAAGCGAGAAGCCATGCCGAGAGAAGGATACTGCACACAGCCAAGGCGCATACGGCGTGGAATTTGTTGAACAGCCGCATCGAAGAGAGAATCATGGTTCCGACACAAAAAGGAATGAAAGTGCGACACGGGCAAATCGGAAGGCGGGAAAAAGAAAAAGTTGTGGTGGAGGGGTCAACTGATCGATCGTCTGGATCGCTAAAGGCCCCCCTATACTTGCTGGATCTTATTCTTTAGCTTCTTTTGCCTGCTGCTTGCATCCGTCGTTTGATGAACGTTAGGCCCGACCCGCTGTAGTGTGTCGTTTCACAGGCTAGAAGGCAACCGAAAAATGGATGGATTGAAAATAAAAAGTCGTAGAACGGAAAACGAATGACGCTGAACCAAATCAAACGGATCGGTCTGGTGAATCAAAGGAAGATGAGGATACGCGCGTATCTCCGACGGCAAGATGCAGAGTCAGGAGAGAAACTAGCGTGCCCAAAATGGGTGGGGAGGGAGACGGCAACGAAAGATTTCTCCTCCCGGATAATATGGCGCGTTGTGGAAATAGATTCCTACAAGGATGGAAGAAAAAGAAACCCGAAATGAAGAGAAGAAGAGCGAGAGAGAGGGAGGGAGGAGGCAAGAAGGAAAAGAGAAGAAGAGAAAAAAAAAAAATTTTGAAAAAGGAGAGTTACGAGTACAGTAAGATGATAACTGGAGGAACGGGCAGTGTTCGATCAAGACTTGGACGGAAATGGGGGCGAGAAAGCGAACCGCCAACCAGTCGAGACTCGATGTCTTGCTCTGACGGGAAAGAAGAAATTATTATTTTACTCCAGAGTGATTACTGATTAGAGTTATACACTTCTCTTTCTATCTCGGTCTCTCAAACTCTCCCTCTCCTTTTTCCTTTTTCAATTTTTTTTTTTTTTTTTTTTTCAATTCCCACACGGCATGAAATTCTCCATAAGGCTGCGGCAAATCCAGGCCAGATTGGTTAACCCGTCGTGTGCTCTCTTGCGTCAGCCTCCATCAATTCCACGCCGATGATCTCTGGCACCCGTTGGAATTATACTTACGGAGTAGGTGTACAACATACTCCGGAGTAAAATCATGAATCAAAACCCCCAGGGTATCTCAACTTCATTCATCGATCCCCGTACAATCTAAAAAAAGCATGACCTGCACCCAGCCAGAGAACCGGCCGATCCGAGGCCCCCCCATGGCGTTTGTCTTGGCCCCGACAAAGAGACACTAGTAAGCAGGCCCCATCCACCGATGACGCTATTCTGTCATCTACGAAGTAACTATCGTGTACTGTACGGATACATCTCTCTCCTAAATCAAAAGAATCTCAATGCGGCATCTGATGCAAATTGAATAAAGAACGGAGAGCACGTTCCGCTCCATCTTCCGTCTTATCCGCAGCGGTGTGATAATCTCGAGTGTAAATTACTATTGAATAGGTAGTTCGACTGTAAGAACCAGGACGGGAAGTAAGGTGTTGATGTGTTCAACCCAGCACAGCCATCCAGCGTACACACGGGTGCGGCTTGACGGGGGGTCCAAGCTGAACCCCGGCGCCGATAAGGAACCGCCGTGGGTGATAACTTTCGTAGCCCGTATTTGAGCAGCACCCTTGGGACTCTGGCTCTGGCAGGCACCACGTATTCGTTGGGTGATTGATGTATAATTTCCTAGTTATGTCACATTTCGAGAGGAGGAATAGAGGTCGTCTGATTGATTGGAAGATATCACAGGCTAGCTGGTACTTACTGTAAGGAAGGAGGGGGATGACAGGATTAGTGAGTGATCTTATGTGAGGTACTAAATCCGACAGATGAAGGGAGGAAACTGGAAATATGAAGCCAAACAACTTACTTGTACAGAGTCTTTTACATTACTGCTCAGAAGGTAGCTAAGCTAGAGATGGTAAGGTGAGATGGATCACCTCAGGCAGACTCACCAATAGCAAGCAGATACCCCCCAGTGGTTCTCCACTATGTAAACTAGCCCGCTTGGTGCAATGGGTAGCACACCTCACTATTCTTAACGTATTGTTATGGAGATCCAGGTTCGAGTCCTGGAGCGGGCGTCTCTTTTTTCTGTTTCTTTTTTGCATTCACCCGTTTCTCTTTCTGTTTCTCTCTCTCGCTCTCGATCTTCCTTTCTTCTTTGATGAAGGAGGTCAATAGATGCTGCGTTGCATGGTGAACACCAATGGACAGTTAGATGGATGATCTCTGAACGAAAAAAAAAAAAGGCATCAAGATATGCCTTGGAGCCTATTTCATCAGGCACCCACAACGGACAAAGGGCACTAGTCCCACAACAGGCCCAAATGGCTGACATAAGAAGCCCTACCGAGCGCTAGTCCCAGGCTGGCTAGCGGGATGAGTCAGCCGCCCACACAGGGAAATCTCGCTACACCACCAAAAATTCCACAAGACGAATCCCCGACGAGATCCTGAACACCTCGACCTGTCGACAAACCCGCGCCCTCCGTCTTGACCGCGCAGTCCCGTCAAGATGAAGCTCAACATCTCCTACCCGGCCAATGGGTCGCAGAAGATCATCGAGGTCGATGATGAGCGCAAGCTCCGTCCCTTCATGGAGAAGCGCATGGGAACTGAAGTTAGCAACCCCGTGTCCCTTGAACCTTGAAGAAACACCCATCCAGACGGACGCCTTTGCGAGGAATCGAAGCAGAACGGAAAGAAGCACACAGTTCAATTCTGTTTTCTCTTTGATTTTTCGTCATCCGCACAATTACACACAACTCGATTTTGGATATTGCGGAAACCATGAGACTGATTGCGGATATCAAATTAGGTTCCCGGCGAGTCCCTTGGTGACGAATTCAAGGGTTATCTCTTCAAGATCACTGGTGGTAACGACAAGCAAGGTACGGCTCGACCTTTATTTCCGGATGTTGTGTTTTTGGATTGAATGGAGCGGGCGAAGGAAGATACGCTGGGGATATGGAGATCGGAAACTGCACAAGGATTCAACAGGATATCAATTTTGCTAACATTTAACGTTTTCAGGTTTCCCCATGAAGCAGGGTGGTATGTACCGACCGACTCGACGAAACCCACAATCAGCAATCTTGGAAACAGAAACTCATCGATAATTCTTCCCAGTTCTCCTTCCCACCCGTACCCGCCTTCTCCTTGCCGATGGCCACAGCTGCTACCGCCCCCGCCGCACCGGAGAGCGCAAGCGCAAGAGTGTCCGTGGTGGTACGTTCCGCAACCCGATGGATTTAGAATCCCCGTTTGCGCATGGAAGAATAAGGTTTTCGTTGACGCGAGTTTTCTCTCTACAGCCATCACCGGTTTCGACCTTGCCGTTCTCGCCCTGAGCATCGTCAAGCAGGGTGAGGGTGAGATCCCCGGTATCACCGACACCGTCGTCCCCAAGCGTCTCGGCCCCAAGCGTGCCACCAAGATCCGCAGCTTCTTCGGTCTCGACAAGAAGGATGATGTCCGCCAGTTCGTCATCCGCCGTACCGTCACCCGTGAGGGCAAGCAGGACTACACCAAGGCCCCCAAGATCCAGCGTCTAGTTACTCCCCAGCGTCTCCAGCGCAAGCGTCACCAGAGCGCTATCAAGCGCCGCCGCGCTGAGGCTTCCCGCGAGGCTGCGTAAGCGATCCCTTCCCCCTTGTGATGTTGCAGGTATCATCTATGATATGATTTTCTAACCTCTTACCTCCCAACAGTAACGACTACGCTAAGCTCCTTGCCGGTCGTGTCCACGAGGAGAAGGCCAAGCGTGACGAGCTCCGCAAGCGTCGGGCGTCTTCGATGAGAAAGTAAATGTTTTCACCGGGGGTTTAATGGTCGGGTTACGTCTCTATTATGGCTAGGAAAAAAAATCTCAGCGTCGGACCGGGAAAAGGGGTTTTTTTTCTTTCTTATTTGTTGAGTTCCAAGTGAATGGGCAGGGTGTTGTGACCCAGGATGACAAGAGACTTTGGCGTGCAGATTTTTATCTACAATGAAAAAAAGAAAAGCCATATTCCATCATACATAACGAAATATGTGGAAACCGGGAAAGGGATCGAATCTTTTATAGAAAGAGTGAGGTCCCTTTCTTGAGAGGGTTTCTTGGGGTCACTCTTATCTTGTCTTATTCTTTTTTTTTAACGAAAAGGAAAGAAAAAAAAAAGCAAGTTTTAACGATTCCATCGGGGCTCGGGAAGCGTGTAACTGTTCTTGTTTTTCTTTTTGGAACTCAGCAAAACCAACTAAGGAAATGAAATGAATTCTCTCTTCTTGTTAGTCTGATATCTATTGTTTTGTAAATGTTATCATTTTTTAAAGTTTTGTTGAACTGTGCCTTATCTCCGTATCTGCTGTGTGGAGTGAGTATACCCTACCCTACAGGACCACAACCCAACATGTTCACAACATATCTAACCCAACAGAAAACGTAAAGATGACATGCCTCTACAGTAGCACAAAAGCATGCCCATAAAATAGTTTCCATTCAAACGATAAAAATAAGCAAACACTCCCAACAACCGGGAAGAGGTGCTATTCCTGGGTGTATGTATGTACCCACACTCCTCGCCCCCAGAACCAGGGTCAAGGGAGAGAAGGGGAGCTGAGAAACAACACCCAAATCCCCGTACTTTTTTGTTTGACTTTCTCTTCCCTTCTATTTTTTATTTTCTTTGTCCCTCCTAATACAGTATCCCCGTCATCATGCTTCCTCGTGCTACAGTGTTTAGATTTGCCACGCTCTGCTCCATATTCTCGGTCCTCTACCCAACGGGATAGTTATGTGTGACCCGGGTTGCAGGGTGGCTTGATCGGTGTGTTCGGTGTGTTCGGTGTTGATTGTCTGCAATCTTCAATCTGCAGGTTGCGATTGTCTGGTTGTTTGCTTTTGTTTTTGTTTTTCTGATGGAAAGTACTTTTGGTCGGTCAGTAGTCCCCTTGTGTAGGCAGGTTGGACTGGTTAGGTTTCTAATTTGTGGTAATTAATGAGTTGGTAAATGTCCGGTTATTAATTGATATCTGGGGTGTTTGTACGGAGTACCTTAGTGGGGTTTCTTCTTTACAGTATCTCACTTTTCTCGTTTCTTTTTTCTGGCCCAGGCCAGGGGTTGTAAATTAATGTATACATAAATTTGATTAGCATGAGCTTTTTCTTGGTCTTGGTCTGATTATATATGCGGATAAACATCTATATATACGGAATTGGATTCTTGCCCATTTCCATTCTATACTTATCTGATGTATATAACGAACTGCCAAGTAGCATAACCAATCCACCTAGGAGATCAAACAACCACCGAGAGGAAGAAGAACAAAGGTATAGAGATATAGATTCATAACTTATGTACAGTGCAAAAAAGCGATCTAAGAAAAAAAAAAACAGGATCGGTTTTTCTGGGTCTTGAGTCTTAAGAATGAAAAATCGGCGCAGCAAACCTTTGAGTTCTTTTTTGGCCATTGTTTCCCAGTTTCCCCTCTTTGTGGATTCGTGCATGCATCATGTCTTGTCTTGTAAGCGCGTTAAAAAAAAAGATGAAAAAAAAAGGAAAAAAAGAAAAAGAAAGGATGACTTGTCGGTGAGATGGCGATCGGGCCAGATGCTTGGTTCTTCTTACTCCGATCACTCCGATCTCAAATCATTCAATCAAGGGTGATAAGCAAACAAGCAAACAAATAAAACCCATTGTCGATAGTCTATAAAGGGATTCATATCGTAAACCTCTCAAAGCCCCACAAAATAGTTAGTTGGTTAAAAGTGGTGCAGGACTAGCTAGCTAGCTAGTTTAGCACGCAGGCAAGCAAAGTAGACAATGGGGAGATAGAGAGGGCTAGAGGGTTCCATTCCATTTCCTTTCGTCTCGGACAAATGAAAAACAGATGATCCGCTCCAACAATCTTCCCTGCCCACACCCCCAGATCCAGAGGCCAGTCCCAATTCCCACGTCTTGTCATCCATTTCCCGGAACAGATTTTTATGCAACAGCGTGAGAGAAGAGGAAGCTGACGGACTCGCCGTTGTGCGTGCGTCGGCAGGCCTCGGCAAGTGTGGGGCTGATGTCGATGGTGTCGATCTTGTCGCAAATTTCCTTCTTGTCCTCGTGGGGAACGGTGTTGGTGACCACGATACGGCTGAGGCAGCTGTTGTTCACGTTCTCGATGGCCTTTCCCGAGAGGATACCGTGGACAACGATGGCGTTGACCTCCTTGGCACCGTGCTGCATCACGGTGTCGGCGGCCTTGACGAGGGTTCCGCAGGTGTCGGCCATATCATCCACGATGATGGCGATCTTGTCTTTCACGTTTCCGACAAGAACCATGCGCGAGACTTCGTTGGGGCGAGGACGCTCCTTGTGGATCAACGCGAATTGCAGATCCAGGCGATCGGCGATGCCGGTGGCACTGTGGACATTGAACAGAAACCAGTCAACAAATGCGTCTTGAGAAAAGAGTGTTCATATCTTGTCACTTACCGCTTAGCACCACCCGCATCAGGGCTCACGATGACGCAGTTGTTCACGTCCAGGTGCTCCCGGATCCACTTCAGCATACTGGGCTCAGCGTACAAGTTATCGACGGGGACATTGAAGAAACCCTGGATCTGACTGGCGTGAAGGTCCATGGTGATGACGTGGTTACAGCCGGCCGTCTGGAGCATGTTGGCCATAAGTTTGGCAGTGATCGGCGCACGACTCTTATCCTTCTTGTCCTGGCGCGCATATGGGAAGTTGGGGATGACGGCGGTGATGCGCCTCGCCGAGGCGGTCTTGCAAGCATTGATCATGATGAGCAACTCCATCAACCCGTCGTTGATATCGTTGGGCCGCGTAGACTGCAGAATGAAGACATCCTCATCTCGTACACTTTCACCGATTGTGACACTGGTTTCCTGGTTGGAGTACTGGAGGACCATGATCTTGGTCAGCTCAATGCCGAGCCTGTCGATCCCACCCAAAGGGTAAACCGTTAGTCCAATGGTTCAAGACTTTAGCAAGGCAGACGACCGCCTCTGAGGCGGCAGCATCGAGTGTTCATACCGATCAGCCACGAGCGTTGCGAGCTCGGGGTGACTGTTACCAGTCAAAAGCTTGATCGAGTTGGCCGCCATGGTAGAGAGGGATTAGGGGGGAAAAGAAGATGATGGGGTGAGTGGAGAATCAAGGCCAGTCGGGATAGACGGCAGGTGGTAATGAGTTGAGTGAGGTGGGCTATATAGAGAGACGGCGAGAGGTCATGCCTAAGAGAAGAATGGAAATCTCCGGTGACTGAAGCTGCCCCGCGTGACTTTTTTTCCCCAGCAGAAAAATGCTGTGTCCCGTGACCGGGGTGGCTCACCGCCTGCATGTGATACTGGGGCTTAGTCATGGAGAAACGCAATGAAGTGGATTGGTTTGTTTGCATTTCTCTAGGAGACAAACCCTAAGTTAAGTACATGCAAATGCAAAATTCAGGAAACAGTTGATAAACACAAAGAAATATTTTTTTCTGCCCTCACGACCAAAGAATTGGCTGTTCTATCACCGTGTATCCCGGTTGACCTGCACTTCAACCAGTTTTCCGGTCACAGCCCTGGCTTCCTCCGCCGCTTCCTCCAGTAACATTCAACCCACATGGTACAAACTAGTGGAAATAAGATGCGTCGAACGCCGTCAAATGCACCTGCGATAGAGCAAAGACAAGGTAAAAGGCAAAAGGAAATAGAAAGGAAATAAAAAGACGCAAACTCGTCAAATCATCGACCCATGCCAATAAGCGCTCGCAATTTATGCAAACCCGAAATATTCGCTACCCGCTGTCATTGCAGTATACAGACGCTGCCTCAAAGTCTCGTAGCTCTCGTATTCCGGAAGATCAAGTTCTGGCGTTCCTAGTTAGTACACTGCGATATAGCCGTCGGACAGGAGAGGGAAAGACTTACGGTTGAAGCATGTGTGAGAGCTTGGGAGACGATCTTTGTTGCCATAATCGCGATGAATGTTGAACCGGCTAACACCGTTCATACCTTCCAGCTCCTTGAAGCCGTTGAGTGGAACCTTACTCGTGCCTGTGACGAATTGTAGCAGCTTAGCCCGCTCTTCCTTATCGAAGGAACGGACGGCACGCCAGAACCACTGGATTTGGGGCGACGAGGCCGAGTAGTTATGGTATTCGGTGTTGACCTTCCAGTCATCCACTTCAATCTCGGGAAGACCAGAGATCAACAGCTCAAGCTCCTGTTCATTAAATATGGAGATAAGATCGGGCGGGATAATCTCATGGAATCCTGCAAGTTGCATGTTAGCCGTAAGTCTGAAGAGATAAATCGGGATGGAAGAGATAGAATGTACCTTTGAGGAAGTTGTCAAGCTGCTCTCTCACGGATCGGACCAAGCGATAGTCAACAACACGCTGCACATACTCCTCCTTGTTCTCTTGAGTCACCGGGATGTTACTTCCATTCTCGATAAGATCGATGACCTGCTTCTCTCCAAAGTCATCGGTCTCCACCGCGAAAGTCTCGGTGATGATGTCGGTGATGTCGTTCTCAAGCATCCAGAGGAGCGACTTGTAGTAGTCGAGGTCGAGCGTTTCCATATCCTTGATAGACACTGACCGGCCGAGAATACATTTGTAAACTGCACGACTGAAGTGACAATCAAGGACCCGGCCCTCGTACAACGCCTTGCCGATAATGCGTCCAATGAACTTGAAGAACATCAGGTGCTCCGAGTTGACCCCACTTAGGCGATTGGGGTGGAAGGTTGTGCGATCGGCAGCAACGGGAATGAACAAGGCGTAGTTCGGGTTAAACATGCCACGGGCAAGCACTTGGAACC